CAAAGGTTTGGTGTGTGTGTGTAGGACCCCCCCCCCCCCCCCCACACACACACACCAAACCTTTGGTAAGATGAGTAGATTTGATTGTTCAAAATTGGCAATCTGGGGACAATGGGCATTGACCTGTTATGTACAGCGTACACTATAATTTTTTCATCCTAAAGAACAGTATGAAACCTGTTTTGTTGCATAATAGTTCTATCTGATGCTGTGGATATTTCATCCTGCTGTTAAGCATTGAAAGGAACTGCTTTTATGCTTTCTGCAGAACCCAAATGGGAGCTATGCAACCTATGAACTCACAAGATCATATCCATGGTTGGAGGTAACATTCTTTGACATACAATTGTTCCATGTTCAATTCTACTTTAACACATAATTGCTCCACTTGCCAGTTCTTTACAAAAACATCTTCACACCCAAAATTAATTCAGCATATACCAATAAAAGGTGTCAGTTCTCCTAACTTACTAATTGGTGGCTAGCTTGTATAAATCCTTAGCAGGTTATGGAAATGATAAATTGATAGTGAATGCCATTTCCAAAAAAACAACCTCTGCTCTCTCTAGCATTGCCATTCACCCTCCCCGAGGCTAGTTTCTGTAACTCGCATCGCGATGAATAAAAATTAGCTTGGTCCTTGAGACTATTGATTAACTTTCTGATTGATAAAAGATTATATGACAGCTTCAGAATAATTTGAGTGCTATAAATAATACTCCGTCCCAAAATGAAGTTCTTGTTGTGGTTTACAATGTTATACTGAAGTTATTTTTAATTCAAATGAAAATTGTCGTGGAACCTAAAAGTAAAGTTATATATTTAAAAAATATATCGAAAGTTCCACGAAACAAGTTGTGACATGATTATGTAATTTTATCAAATGAGTAATGAAAATAAAAAAGAAAGTGGATACCATTTTCATTGTGAATAGTAAATAGGAACTTCATTTTGGAACGTAGGTAGTATATATTTTAATTTGTTGTGACTTTTGATGATAGACTTTAGTTTTAGTATTTTAGATTGTATAAAAATGACACTTCCAAATGTACTTAGTTGTGGCAGGATGATAGCCTTAAGGTAAAGTGGAAGATCATCAGATGTCATTTGCTCTCATCAACCCCTCAACCTTAACTAGTTAGTGTCGGTGGTTTAAAAGTTACAGGTTTACAGTGCCTATTAACTGTCAAAATAGTGTCACTATAAATTCTTAGTTCCCAAGTTTCACAATAGATGTCCTTCCTGTCACAACCTTCTTAGAAACGAATAATGTAATGAAATTTTAAAAACAACACCATCCCATTTTGTTTCCACTTGCATGAACATTATTATGACATCATGATGCAGTGATATAACTGTGTAGGGAAACAACTTTTCTTTCATCTTCCTCATGAGATGAAATTCCACTCGTTTTTCGGTTTCTAATATTGTATACTGATTTGGGGGGGGGGGGCGTCAATCTGCGATGTGAGTTATGTCAGACCAAACTAGCCAAGAACCAGAACATTACTCACTTGCTAATTCTTAATTATAATATAAAAGAAAAAAACTATGATATGTACTGTATTCTGCATCTATGATATGTGATATACAACTCATACTCATTTTATCAAATGAGTAATGAAAATAAGAAAAGAAAGTGGATAACATTTTCATTTGAATATTAAATAGGAACTTCATTTTGAGATGGAGGTAGTACATTTTTCCTGATTTGCTGTGACTTTTGATGATAGACTTTAGTTTTAGTATTTTAGATTGTATTAACATGACACTGTTAGCCTTGGTTTGCACATCGACTAACACACTTCCACATGGACTTAGTTGTGGCAGGATGGTATAGCCTTAAGGTGAAGTGAAAGATCATCATATTAGATTTGCTTTCATCAACCCCTCAATCTTAAATACTCCGTAGTTAGTATCGGTGGTTTAAAAGTTGCAGGTTTACAGTGCATATTAACTATCAAAATAGTAGCGCTATAGATTCCTAGTTTCCAAGTTTCACGATATACATCCTTCCTGTCACAACCTTCTTAGAAACGAATAATGAAATGAAATTTCAAAAACAACACCATCCTATTTTGTTTCCACTTGCATGAAAATTATTATGACATGGTGATGCATTGATACAACTGTGTAGGGAAACAACTTTACTTTCATCCTCCTCATGAAATGAAATTCCACTCATTTTTTCGGTTTCTAATATTGTATACTGATTTGGGGGGGGGGGGGGCTGGGGGGATCAATTTCCGATGTGAGTTGTGTCAGACCAAACTAGCCAAGAACCAGAACATTACTCACTTGCTAATTGTTAATTGTAATATAAAAGGGAAAAAAACTAGGATATGAACTGTATTCTGTATCTATGATATGTGATATACAACTCATGTGCTGATCTGAAAGTATTTGTTCTTGTTCAGTTAATCAACCCTGCTGAGACTTTTGGTGATATTGTCATTGATTACCCGTAAGACTTGCACATTTTTCTATTTATTGCCGGTCCCATATCTGGGTTATATACAACTTCCATCAATTCAAGTCTATGTTTCTGATCTCTAACAAACTTCTCTCTATGTAGCTATGTTGAGTGCACTTCAGCTTCAATTCAAGCACTGATGGCATTTAAGAAATTGTTCCCCGGACATAGGAGGGAAGAGCTGGAGCATTCAATAGAAAAATCTGCAAAGTTCATCGAAAAGATTCAAAAACCAGATGGCTCATGGTTAGTTCTTTTATTTTGCTTCACCCATTTCTACTTATGTTTAAACTTTAAAGACTCCAACCATTATTCTCCAGTGTATACCTTTATTGTTCTCTCCCCCTTCCCCCCCTGCCTCTTTGAAACTTAGTGTTGTCCCAAAAAA